CTCTAAATTTATGCCTATTTTCAAAAGTAAGAATCCCCTTAATGGAATTGTTCTTTTTCCAAAAAGTTATTTCTCTACTGCATATTTCTTCTTCTACAGTTAGCACTTCAGTTCCATACGGACATTTTAACTCTATCATAGAGTTTTGTTTTTTTTTTTAATTCCATCCAGACTGGCAGCAACATAATCAAATTCGAATTCAATAAAATGTCCACATTTAAAAACTTTTACTTGCAAATAAATTTCCAAATCTTATTTTGTTCTGAATTTATGGTTCATGCCATATCGGGTGCTTTTAGAAATAAATAAAAGATTTTAGATTTTTTACAAATTTCTCCAAATTTTAAAGCAGTGACTCGTTTCCGTCTTTTATTGTGCCACAATGCACAATCGTTTTTCTCTCATTTATAGACATTGGCTAACTTTTTATAAAATTTTCTCTTCCAACGCGCCTCAAAGGGTGCGACAGATCAAAGCCATGCGCGAAAGCAAGAAAAAATATTTACATTACTTTAACGGATTGAAAAGATATTAATATGCTGGAATTAATAATTATTGTTGACTTGAAGAAGTATTCATTAAACAAAAACATATTTATAATTCACATCTGAGTGTATACCTTCCAATTTCGTATATATATTTTTTTAATAAATAAATGATAAAATTAATTTAATATAATTGAGCGAAATTACTGTATTTAAAAAATAACAACATGAATTCAAATCACTAAATAGTAGAAAAAGATATATATTTTATTGGTATCACCCTCTAGACGAAAAAGCTTTTAACGTATTTCTATTTTTATTGTAATAAAAATAAATGCTCCTGTAGGCAAAAATTAAATATATTGTTCTCTTCTAGCATTTTTTAACATTTCTATTTATTTTCGTTGCATTTCTTAGATTTTTTCAAAAGAGACTGATTCATATTTTTAAAGTGAATCCAGAGAGGTATGGGTTAAGCCTTTACTTGTACTTGCATAAAATTTCTTTTAGTAAAATTAAAAAATAATCCGTAAAATTGGTGTACTATGAAACCCTTACATATAATATATATGCCAATCTTAGTATTACAGAAATAAATTACGTAAAAAATAAGGTGTACAAATACGTAAAATTTATTCATCCCTCGTAAAACATCAGTAAAATATATTATAAATTGTTTTCATTCACAAATATTAATTTCTTTAAAATCTAACAGAGGCGCCACTTTCCAGACGAAAAATCTGGCAATGTAAGGGTTTCGTAGTACCCCACTTTTAAAATTTATTTTTGACTATTTTTAAAATAAAAAAATATGTATGTGTAGGTAAAGGTTAAATCTATGCTTCTCTGGAACCACTTTTTCAAAATTCAATTTTTTTCTAAAAAAAAAAAAAATGAAAAAATGGTTAAAAAAAGTCGAGTTTTGTATTTTTTTTTTAGAAAAAACAGTTTCAAATTTTAAAAAAGTGTTTCCAGAGAAGCATAGATTTATCCTTTACCTACACGTGCATATTTTTTTCTTTCAGAATAAGTCAAAAATAAACTTTAAAAGTGGGGTACTACGAAACCCTAGCATGCTTCGCTCTACGGCCAAGTAAATACTCCTCTTAAGTTACACGTCTCTGTTGTCTCTGATCTTGTCGACACTTGAAACCCCCTCTCGCTCGCCTAGCGTAGTAAATGATTCCAGTGACGTGCATATTTAATTAACTTAAGGAGGTCCAATGTTAAATAAAAAATATTAGATTATGACTAAAATTAATTTTTTTCTAATAGTAGAAGTCCTTATTTATCTAATAGTGAACTTTTAACTATACCTTACAGTGCAAATTTTTGAGAATTTTTTTTTTAAAAATGTGTGTGTTTGTACAGTGTCTTACGAGAAAGTAAGACTTCAAATTTTCGAATTATAATTAATTTTACTATTATTTATTGATTAGATGGAGTAGAAAAAACTAAAAATAAGGTTTTTGAAATATTTAGGTTTTGTTTTTTTACAATAAAATATATAGGTTACCGTGGAATTTATTGAGAAATTAATATTAAAAAATCACAAAAAATTTTCAACTAGGTTACTTTAAATTTTTTTTTTTAATATTCATTTCTCAATAAATTCCAAGGTAACCTATATATTTTATTGTAAAAAACAAAACCTAAATATTTCAAAAACCCTATTTTTAGTTTTTTTCTACTCCATCTAATCAATAAATAATAATATAATTCGAGAATTATTGTTGAGGTCTTATTTTCTCGTAAGACACTGTACAAATACTCACATTTAAAAAGAAAATCTTAAAAATTTGCACGGTAAGGTATAGTTAAAAGTTCAACATTAGATAAATAAGGACTTCAACTATTAGAAAAAAAATAAATTTTAGTCATAATCTAATATTTTTTATTTAACATTGGTGGCGAAAGGGGTGGCGAAAGGACCTCCTTAACAAGTACCTAGGCCTAGGAACACGAACTTTGTATTTTTGTTACAAATCAATAAAAATTTAGAAGCTCACATTTTATTATAAACTTCCTTGTTTCATTTTTTATACCACTTGTTACTTGTTATGAATTTCGTCTGTTCACTTAAGTTAAGGAGACATTAAATGGTATAGAAAACAATACGATTAGGACTGGTTGTATAAAACTTACATAAAGTTACGCTCAATTATAGGTTATGCATGTTAATTTCCTAACCATAAGTGCAGTCTAATGTTTGAGGAAACAAGCCCTAAGTGCTAAATGGTGTTTAGACTGTACCTATGCCACACAAAATTTGTCATGTGTCACCTTAAACCGAGTTTAACTTTAAGTAAGCTTTATACAACCCGCCCTTATGATATCTTTAACTTTAAGGAATAATTAAGAAATTCGCTGCAAACAGCTGTTATAGTTGAACCTGAGAATAACATATTCTCGGGTTGAACACTTTGAATTGTTTATTTAAAAATTTCATTCTTACCGGTCCGGTTGGTTCATGGTTCCTCAATGGGCCATGTTTACATGTGAGATATGCTGTTTTATAAATTATATTGTAATAGTTAGTCGCTATACAAGTTATTCTAAATAATCAGTTCGTTAAAAAAGCCAAAAGTTTTTAAATTAAGCCCAATTAAAATTTAAAATTTGAAATGTATACGTCATCGGGAATAGACCAATCAGCTTGTGTCAAAGTTTTTTTTTATACAAAACCAAACCACCGAACAAACCGACACACAGAATGTCGAAGTGAACGCACATCTTAGTGACACTTAAAATTGACACCACCTAACCTAACATTCGTTGTTTATTTCTTTTGTCTTTGCCAATTGGTTTAATTTTATTATTAATGAGTTTGTTAGCTGGATTTATAAAAGCTGATTCAAGTGTTTTACTCATTATAAACCAAGATAGGACTAATGCATTTTTTAACAATACTCAGTTTATAAGTGCCAAAGTTAAAGCCTGTTAAGACAAAAAGAAAGGTATGTAAAACTTTATTTATAGTTTGTTTTAATAGTAGTTATAGTTTATATGGGGTAATACACCTTATAGTAAAAAAAATATTTATCTCAGGCCATTAGGATTATTGAACACTAACAGTTTTTTTTTTCAAAATTATACCTTTTACCACCCTGTTATATTTTGGAATACCCTCATTTATATGTATAAAAAAAATGTATTTCCCATAATATATCAGTGTACACTGATATCCAAAAATATAACACTAGAAACTGAAAGGATATATCTATACCTTGAAGTAGAGAGAGCGACGTTCAAAGTTTTGCTGCCGGTAGACATTAAATTATTTCAGTAATTAGAAGTAAAAACATAATTACGTATTAAGTACCTGAGAAATAGCAAATTTGTTATTGTATAAAGCGAGTTTATACATTTTGGCCCTTGGTTGTGTTTGCTTAAATTTAGATTATCAAAAACAGGACTCTTATAGATTCTTAAACATTAATATTTAACATGTTTACCTCAAAAATTAAAACTAAATAACATCTAAAAATGTATTTAGAAGGTTAGGGCACAAGTATTTACTGCAATACTGTTTTTATTTGGTTGAAAATTGCCTACTTGATACATATCGTTGTAAATAATATTGTAATTTAAGTACATTTTTGTATATGCGTAACTACTTTTTGCAATGGTACATAAACTCTTTTACACTTATTGTACACATATCTAATGTTTACATGGATAAATTTATGATAATATTTCTAAATTGAGATAATAAGAACACAAATATGTTTATATTTTATGAAATAATTTGGAACACAGAAAAATAATAAAAATTAGTAAAAATATCTGATAATTAGTCAAAATGTTTAGAGTAGGGCTCTTGAAAATACTAAAAAAATATTCACTTTATTAAATAAAGTTTTATGGAGATGATGCCTTTTTCCATGTACAATTTAAGAGAGAAGGAGATACTTGCACAGTAAAGGGACAAATTACACCTGAACATAAAGTACGGCAAAAACCTTATCAAGTTGTAATTAACAAAAATGAAATTTTTAGTGCACAATGCTTACGATATGCTGCATCTCAAGGTTTGTAATATTTATTACGCTATTCTGTTTTTATATCACATATAATAAACAGTGTATAAGGCCCTTCATTAAAATAGCTTTCTTTTTGTTGGGGTATTTTGTAGAAGATTGGTTTAGTGCAATAGAGTAAATCTTATTTGATTCATTAGTCTGTTGGGAACTGTTTTGCAGACTTCTGTTACCAGAATCCTCCGTGTTTGATGCTTTGTTTATTTTAGGTGAAATACAGTCCTGGCGAGAAATTTATATCTGCTCAGGCACATTAAGCAATATCAATAGGTAGTTCGATTTTTTGAGTAACTTAATTATTTTTACCTGCTGGTGATAACAACTCACTTAAACGTAAGCGATGTGTACTCGGCGAATGCTAGCACACGACTCGCCACATCAAAATGTTGAAAAACTAAATACGTTGTTCGCCCTGTAAAAACTCATGACCTTTAAGTTTATTTTCAATAAAAGGAAATTCAAAAACAGCATTTTTGCTAAATATATTTATTAGGTACAAATATATAAATGAATACAATGATACAAATATACAAAACTTCATAGAAGATAATAAGTAAAGGCATTAGGTTTAATTCTAAACTCAATACTTTCTTCGGAATCACTAGTTTGCATAACTATCACGAAATTTTATCTCAGATCACTCAAAACGTCTAGAAAAAAAGCTGGTGATCATTTTCAATAGACACAAGATTCCTGCGATTCAAGCAGCACCAAAAAATCGATTGATTTTAGTTGGGCTTTTGAATCAAAGAACCTTAAATATAGGACAAACTTAAAATACATTAATATTTTTTAATCGTCCTATATCTTTGGCCACTGTTATTGTAGAAGCGAATCAAAATTTAAATTAGTATATAAGGACTAACACAAATTGTAAACTGGATTAAAATGGATTAGAGAAACTAAAAGAGTTACCAAATAAAATAAATCAAGAAAAAAATAAGAAAAACTGAAAAGATCAGATAAAGGTTTAACAACCATTCCCTTCTGAAAACAACTGCTCCTTTGGTTAGTACCACAACAGGCATTACATTATTTCACGCATTTCTTCATTCTTTATTTTTTAAATATTTAATAAACTAGTTAATATTATAACTGAAAAATTGTTTTATCGCAATAACAAAAAAACTAAATTAAAGATAATATAAACATTTGTCGATGTTAATATTTAAGCTACAATCATTAAATTTAATAATATATTATCAAATAAATCATCACTTGGAAGCAGAAGTAGCGTATGTCATAAAATGTTAATTTTACAGAAGAGCCTTTTTTCTTTCTTTTTACTAAATAATATAAAATTTTATTTACAGAACAGTATATGTGGAATAAATTATTTTTTTCACCTAATACGAGTATGTCTACACCATGAAAGCCACGTTCTGTAAATAAAAAGGATATAGGCATAGTACCTAAATATTAAACCGATGTAGCCTACGGCCTCTAAACTCCATTCCATTTCCACCATAAAGCTGATAGAGATACATTTTTTCACTACTTCGCATTTTGAGAGACATGAGCGCTACCTACAAAAATGGATTTACGATGGTTCTGCATCCAATGTAAGATCACTTTTTCTATCTGATAAATAGAAAATCTCAACATAGGCTGCATCCAAGTGACAAAATATATTGTTACTACAGGGATGTGCAAAGCATTAGGTAGTGCTATAAAAACAAACATAAGTGAGACTTAGTTCAAATAAAAGAACAAGCTGAAAAGTTCATCTATACAAAATCAGGACTCTTATTGAATCGTGGACCTCTAAATAAACACTCTATTTCCTTATTATCTCTTTTAAAACCACACATATTTATGGCTAAAGCTTTGTTGGATAGTATTAAACTTCTTATAGGTGTCCAGTGAACGTCCATTTTAGATCGATAATCGTATTCGGATGTCCAGTATTCGTTCGTTTATGAACATAAGTTTAGTACACGTTAAGTAGTATTTTGACGTCCGATGGACGTCAGTGTAGGTCATTATTTATTTAGCTAACCAAATAATACATATATACACTTTATTTTCTTTTCAGAATATATTTGGTCATTCAAAATTTAAAAATGTAATCTAATGCAGTTCATTTTACCAGTAAACGTTTGAAATTGTATTAACTATTAGAATCATATCTATTAACAAATTCTTACATGTCTCCGTGGTCGAGCGCGTAGAGTGGCTGAAGGTGATGAACGTTAACCGACGTGTCGTAAATTCGATTCCAGTCGGTTCACACGTTTTTTAATTTATTAAAAAATAATAGTTCTTTATGGTGCTGACTCATTTCTGGACGTTCAGACATCCAAAAATATATATCAAATGGACGTTCAATGAAAATATTTGTGCTATCTAGGTGGTGCTTTCTATGTTACCAAAACTTCTTCAAGCTTATCGATACAATAATGTTTTAAGAATGCTCTCGTATTTTTTGTAATTTGTCAATGTCATCGATAAACTTTAGTAGCTTAGAGATTATGTTACCGTTCTTTGTCACTTGTTATTGGTATGAACAACGTAATAACTGCAAAAAAAGTTACCTAAAAGTTACTAAATGTCACTTATAAATTCAACTAAAGGGCCAAAAAGTGAAGAATAAAACTTAATGAAGAAAACTCGGTAAATATAAACTTTACAAATAAAACCAATAATCAAAGCACTTGCATACCTACCACAATATAAGGACTGGACATATCATATGAAAACACAGCGAAATATTTAGGAGTCAATCCAGATTTAAAGCTAAGATGAAATGAGCACGTTGGAAATAAAAGGATAGAATTAGACAAGCAGATTCTGAAAAATAATTGGACAGATCAGAGGTTGAGCCACTTATTCAAAAATTCCAAAACAAAGTACTTAGAAACATCGTGGATGCTTTGTTTTATATCTGAAACAAAAATCTGCACGAGGACGTCAACATGGCAACGGTTAAAAAGGAAATCAATAGATTTGCTCAAAAGCACGAAGTGTGACTACACAATCACGTCAGCACTAAAATTCTGCAGCTACTTTATCGATGTTATATAAAAAGAAAACTGAACAAGATAAAACCTTCACAGCCAAATCGATTTTACGTTTAGAAAATAATCATTGACGGTCACTCCAAATAAATACGATAATAATGTAGTTTTTTTTATTGTGTAGTACACAGCCAACCTTGGAGTTTTCCTATTCATAAAACGTCCACACCACAGACTACTACCAGAGATCGTTGGATGTTTGGAGCATCTCCAAAACTACCACGCCACGTCTATACATTCAATTTTCAACATTCACCGAGGAATTTTGGAGTTCAATCATTCCAAATGGACATTTTGCGTGCTCGTTATTGGGGGCCTTAATAGTTGTTACGTAAACTTGTTTTAAACAGTATTAAGTAAAAGTTCACTTGAGACAAGACCTAAGAAACATTATTTGATTAGGTTGGTCGCTTTCAACTAGGTTTAATATTGCAAAAGTAAAATTTGTTACTGGGTATTTTTTGGTGACTCGTAATGCTGTTTTTTATAATACGTATATAATACTTATAAGGAAATTTCCAGTATGTGTCATTTTGTCTCACCCTTTTCTTGAATCTACATACCTGATATACATACTCTTCAACTTATGTAATTTGTCAATTATTATTAAAATAAGTAAATCTATTATTAGTATTATTATTGATTTACACCAGTATATAAGTTAATAAACAGATAAGTTATTTAAAACGTTAGAACAATCCACAATATTAAAAGAAGCATTAATAAAAATATGAATTCCCTTTTTGTTAGTAACTGACACATCTAGTACTAAAACGTTATTAAGTTAGTAAAAAAAAATGTAATTAGGAGTTATTATTGTAATAATAAATAAAATATTTAAATGTGTACAATATTTAAATATAGTTCTTTTATATTGAACAAATTTGTGCAACTTTTTAAAGATTCTGTGAAATCGCTTATGGCAATTTTAATGATTGAAACCAATTTGTAAAATATTCTTTTAAATCGACTATAATCCTTTAATTATATTAATTAGTGGTTAATCAATGATAGAATATTGTAAGTGTGGTTAATCCGAACCCTAACAGTGGCCAAATGTCCACTGAAAACCAAAAAATCAAAATTCAAATTGTATTTGGGATACCACAATAAAAAATTCAACTGTAGTCCAATAACAAGTACTTAGTAAGAGTTTTTGGTAAATCAAATCCTTCAGCGGCGTGTAGGAGTTTAGATCCCATTAATTTTCTTAAATAAAGCCGGACTTGTCTCTTTAAGGATAAGGGATATTTAGCGAGTTCTAATAAATTAGATTTTTGTTCTAGCGATAGAACGTTGTTTCTTCTTATCATGCAAGGGTCGAACGATTCGCAAGATTCAATGAGAAGGAAGAAAATTGACGACGAGTTATCATTTATCACGTTCTGGAGACAGTTTAACATGCCATCTGGATCTCGAAATTGGGTTTTCATCACTACCTGTAACAAAAAAAAAGGATTTTCTATAGTCGATTCATAATATGAACCTCAAGCTCAAGCTTCACTCTATACAGACTGTTAACTTGTATTTCTGAAATATCTACATAACAGAAAGGTCCCTATTTATGGTAAAGAGTTTAAGATTTTTCATATCTAACAACAATATCTTAACTAAAGAAGAGTACATAATTATTAGCTTTTAATTTGTTTGTTGTTTCTTAAGTTTATTTTACATTTAGAAATAATTCATTCATTCCATTACCTTACAGTTGGTTACCACGTTTACCATAAATTAAATCTTCAAATTATTTTGTAATTAAGTGTTTCTATTGCTTTGATTTTACCAGAAACCGTTCATGATTGTTTAATTATACTCAAAGTTAAATATGGTTACTCCCTCCCGCTCAGCGGATTTAAATTTATTCACTATTTTATTTTGGGGTACCCAATTACTTTGGGGTCTGGGACCACTACCAATTGAAACTGATAAGACTTTTGTCTTGTTTAGAGACCGGGCCAAGCTGGTTTTCAATATATTTTTTCCTACAATCCATAATCTGGGATTATGTTTAGGTTTCAGTTGACTGGCTTTGTCTGACCACCCATACAGTCTGGATTTATAATCAATTGGGAATTTGATATCCACATTAAGGATATTGCCCTGATGACAATGACACGCCTTCGCACGGTTGGAATAGATCCTGATATAGGATCTGGTGAGGCCAGACCTCGCTTTTGGCAAGAGGCGTTCCATCTCACCAATACAATTTTTCATAAGCTATATAAAGTTATAAAAAAAAGAGCCGGAAGTGGTAGGTACGTCCAACAATATCACTGGAAGGAACATGCTCATCTATACAGGTAGCAGAAAAGCACTACTCACTCTAAACAAACCACGAATTTACTCAAATTTATTACTAGAATGTCACAAAGCTTTGGCCGAAGTATACATCAACAATGTGGCCACCTTAAGATGGATCAAAGGTCACGTCACATCGAATGGTAATCATCTAGCTGATGCATTAGCCAATAAGGCAGCCAACTTAATTCTTTTTGGTCCTGGCCCTTCTATTGGACTGACAACATCGGAAGTGACAAACCCAATTACGAAACATTCCCTTGTTAAATTCAAAGAAAGATGAAATAAGAATCTGTAAACTTGCCAGGAAGCTTTCATATCATGGAGCTGCCAGAATTCGCACTCTGTAGGGGGTGCGAACAAGAAGATAAAACCATCGAGCATATCATCTACGATTGGCTGGCGCTGTGATTTATTAAAAGATTTGTGTTCGGCGAGAATTGGCTAACGCCGGCTGATATAAGAGAAGCACCTCTGTCGTCGACGTTGTTAACTACATTAAATCTATTGACTGGCTCACGAGCTAGAAAGTGCCTATCTACTTAGGAGGATACACCTAGTGAGGCCTAAATGTCGTGGGTTCACCCATCCTCAAAACGTTTTAGATACAGGCAATCAATTTGATATTAAATCGTTGAATACTGATGAGCATGCACTCTTGGTTAAAATATTTTGATCAACACATCTTATTCAACAAGATTGTTCAATTTTTTAAATAATTAATTTTATACTCTTATGTACGAGTATGTTGTTTAATTTTGTAATAATGTTTTAAAACTGTCAATTTTTCAATTTCTCCCTTCACTTGAATCGTGAGAGTCTTGGATAGTAACCAAATAAGTTTATATTATTTTTTAAGGCGTCTCAACAATAAACTGTTATACCAGTTTATAATTCTGCAGGTAAGTAATAAATTGTCATCCATCACCATATAGTACGCATGTCATAAGTAAAAGTACGAATTATCTTAATATTACAGTTCACTTTTATGATAGACAGTGTACGTTAAAGTAATAGTTGTATTGTAAAAGTTTAAGTTCGAAATAAATTGAGTTTACCAAATCCCAGTGTAATAATATGTTGTTTCTATGCATGTTTGTCAACAGCTGTTTCTTTTCTTATTTAGAGACCTGATGATGGCCTAAGACTGACACCGGTTGTCATTTAATTTTACTTTTATGTATTAGTCACTGTTTTACTAATGATATTTTAATGACAAAAACGTAAAATTATGGATTTATTTAGACTACGTTTACGTTATAAAAAACATGGCTAGAACTATGTTTTTATCAAAGTTACACGTTCAACGTATTGTCCATTTCTGTAATTATGCCAGAAGGATACCTATACGTGTCTGCCTGGTTCAGCTGTAACCCACTATAAATACTGTGATATTTGTTTATTTTCAAACAACAGTTTATTTATTAATAATTTATTTAAACACTTATTTATTTTAAACAATACTATTTTAATTTATATATACTTCGAATGTCTTTGAATCGCTCACTATTTATATTCACCACTGTCTATCTACTAATTACTATTTATTTATTTATTTATTTATTTACGGATTTCCAGTACATATTGAAAATACAAAATTGAAATACATATTAAAAATACAAAATTATTAAAATAAATTAAAATTATATTAAATTAAATTAACACAGGTTACATATACAGACAGATACCTATTTTTAAAACCGCAGAAAAATTAACTATTAAAAGTAGACATAAAACTATAAGAAATAATGAACATAGAAGGTTAAGTATTAATAGATTAGATATAGTTATTTTATTTTAATGTTATTTACAGCGATTTTATCTTCACTGTCCATATATCAACTGATTTTGATGGCTCTCCTCCACCAATTTATATACAAATTGGTGGTCTAGAATGCTCCCCCACCAAAATTGCCAGTATGTACCAGAAACGTTATCACGTTCTAGAAATAGTATCTCGTTGACCCTGGAATGTTCGCGAAAGTGTCTCCACCATAGTCGTACCATAGGTTTGGTCTTAAAGGGTTTAATTATGTATAATAATCGGACAAGTTGAGCCTTAAAGGCCAAATAAGACAGAGTGGGACTTGTAGGGTTAGAGCATGACTGAATAATGAAATGGCTCACATAACATTTCCCCCTCCTTAAGAGATAGTTCCTCCTGGAACTCTTACGAAACTAAACTGGAATGGTTGTATATGCAACTGAATCCTCTTTTACAATTTCCAGTTGCATGGAAGTAACAAGGGACTGTCTTCGGTGTAACCTGGGCACTGGGCGAATGGCTGCAGACCAATATCTGAACTCCGGTATCTTGAAAGATTACTTCCACCATGTTCCTAATGATCCTCCAATCCAGCTGATTTCCTTCTATCTTCGGCATGGCTAGTTTCTGTACATTGGACTCCAGTACATGCTCCCTTAGACTAAGTAATGCTTCCCATACATCCTGATAGGTGGATCGGTCTTGGAAGGTATTCTTCGTTATTAAATAAAAAAGATACCGTGACCCGTCTTGAAGTTTCAAGGCTTTTCCAGGGGCTGGTAACTGACATTAAAGTTCTACCAGTCGACCAAACTTCTTACGGAACACATATGCCAGTCGTCGCGCGTCGTTGATGCTGGCGGAAGAACTATGGACCAGCGAGTAGTTTTTCGGAAGCGAGAGCAGATCTTGTTGTTGCTCGGTCGTAACACTATATCTGGCTTTTCCAGTACCTCCATATGCACCCATAAATTCTTCAAAGACAAGGTCTGGTGTTCCTTGAAGTTGGTTTACTTCTTCTTCATGGTCACCCTCAAATGGCGCCAGCCTGTTTTGGTGCACTACCTTTGGTTTACCGTTTGGGATCTTACTTATACGGTAAATTACATAATTTATTTTATTCTTGATGAGGTACGGACCTTCCCAAGACCTTTGAAGCTTAGGAGAATAACCCTTTTGCCTTTTTGGGTTATGGAGTCATACTTTGTCGCCTTCCTTAAAACATTCCTCCGTAGCTTGAGTATCGTACCCTTTCTTCATCCTGTCGCTGGCGATTTGGAGATGCGAGCGAACTAATTCATGCAAGTCGTCCATTCTTCTTCGTAACTGGATCACATAATCTTCACCAGCTACATCTTCTCCAGGTCGGCATCCAAACTCGAGGTCGCATGGTAGTCTCATCTCACGCCCAAATAAGACCTTTGCTGGTGTTTGGCCTGTTGATTCATTGACAGCGGATCTATAAGCCATTGCAAAGAGCGAAAGATACTGATCCCAATCTCGCTAATGGTTTGAAACCACTTTTGACCAATATTTTCCAATGGACTTTATCATTCGCTCTACCATTCCATCATATTGTGGGTGCAATGCTGTGGTTCGGGTTTTCTTCATGCCTAGTCTGTCACAGATTCCACGGAAGAGTTGGCTTTCAAAATTTCTGCCTTGGTCACTGTGGATCTCCAAGGTCACTCCAAATCGACAGATAAACTCTTTTGTCAATACATCTGCAACAGTTGCGGCCTCTTGATTTGGAATGGCATAGACTTTCACCCATTTTGTAAAATAATCCATAACCACCAAAATGTATTTATTACCATCCTCGGTCGTGGGGAATGGTCCAGCAATATCTAAGGCGATCCTCTCAAATGGGCTACCAACGTTGTATTGCTTCATGGGTGCCTTCCTTTTTCGTTGAGGTCCATTACTCATAGCACAGGTGGTACATTTCTTACACCAGTCCTTTAAATCATCGGAAGTGTTCATCCAGTAAAACCTTTCCCGAACTCTCTGAAGGGTTTTCCTAACACCGAGATGTCCTCCGGATGGACTGTCGTGTAACTGACGGAGTACTTCAGCTACTCTACTTCTTGGAATGACCAACTGTCTTCTGTTCTCGGAACCATCATCATTTTCAATTACTCGCTTTAATAAGCCATCTTCCAGGATAAAGGAATTCCACTGAGCCAAATACGACTTAAGTACTGGAGAGAGATTAGATACTTCTTGCCAAGTAGGTCGACGATTTTCGTCTTTCCATTGCCGCATCTTCTTTAAGACGGTATCATTATCTTGTTCTTCTCTAATTTTAGCAGGGGCCCACTCATCGTTGACTACAGTTGTTCTTAGTAGCCCACTTTCTTTGGATTCCGCTTTGTTGCAGTATAAGCACTCTGCTGGACATGGTCTTCTAGAGAGAGAATCGGCATTTCTGTGACTTATTCCGGCTCGATGTTCGATCTTAAAGTCGTATTCTTGAAGTCGTTCAATCCATCTGGCGATTTGACCCTCTGGGTTCTTAAATTGCATTAACCACTTAAGGGCTGCATGGTCGGTCCGGATTAAAAATTTACTTCCGTACAGATATTTGTAGAAGTGTTCCACGCATTTCACAACTGCCAGGAGTTCTCTTCTCGTCACGCAGTAATTCCGCTCAGGTTTCGAGAGCACTTTACTAAAATAACCTAGTACTCTTTCTTTCCCTTCCTGAATCTGTGAAAGCACTCCTCCAATTCCCACATTACTAGCATCAGTATCCAGGATAAATTCTCCCTCTGGTAGTGGGTAGCCTAGTATTGGTGCTGTTGTTAAATGGTTCTTCAATGTTTCAAAGGCAGTTTGGCAGTCCTCGTCCCAGCAGAATTCCCTCGCTTCTTCTGTGAGTCGCGTTAGTGGTTTATCAATATCTGCAAACTTCTTTATGCATCTTCAGTAGTACGTACAAAGCCCAAGAAAACTTCTTGGTTGGTGTTTGTTCTTTGGTTGTGGCCACTCTTTGATAGAAGCGACTTTTTCCTTATCTACAGCCATGCCATTCTTACTGACTACATGACCCAGGTAATTTACTTTATTTTGGAATAGCTGGCATTTCTTGGGGTTTAGCATCAGTTGGGCAGCTTGAAGTCTTTTAAAAACGTCTTCCAAGTTTTTTAGATGTTCATCAAATGTCCTCCCCAAGACTATGATGTCGTCTAAATACACCAGGCATGTTTTCCATGATAACCCTCTCAATACATTTTCCATAAGTCTTTCAAATGCCGCGGGGGCATTACACAGTCCAAATGGCATGCCATTGAATTGCCACAATCCAGATCCGGTGGTAAAAGCTGTCTTTTCTTTGTCTACTGGGTCCATTTCCACCTGCCAATATCCAGACTTTAGGTCTAAGGTAGAAAATAGTTTACTTCCGGCCAATGTGTCCAAGGTATCGTCGATTCGAGAAAGAGGATAACTGTCTTTCTTGGTTACATTGTTCAACTGACAGTAATCCACACAGAACCTCGTAGTTCCATCCTTTTTCTGGACCAGGACTACCGGAGAAGCCCAAGGGCTGGTAGAAGGTTCTATCACCCTGTCTTCCTTCATTTCTTGAACAATCCTTTCAGCTTCCTCTCTCTTGGCCTTTGGTAACCTTCGAGCTGATTGACGAATCGGCCTGGCGTCACCAGTGTCAATTTTGTGTTTTACAACAAAAGTTCTTCCTGTTTTTCCTTCTTTTGGTACAAAAATGTCACGATATCGTCGAATAAATTCCTTTATTTTCTTCTTCTCTGATTGATTCAGAGATTGACTAGCAACTGCAATTATTTGCTTGAATTTGTCGTTGGAATTATCAGAAGTTGTTGTCTGTCGAATTATGGAAGTTACTGGTACACAAGTTCCGATTCTGGTCTCTCTCATGATGGTAATCGGGTGATCAGTAACGTTTATGAGACGGACTGGAATTTCTTAAGCAGTCGTGACCAACCCCTTTCCGATCAGAATGCCTCGTCCAACCTCTTCATCGTGATTCCAAGGTTCCATCATGACAGGTGTTCCTTCTTCTATAGTTTCTTGAAGCCGTGCTACTATAACGGTTTCACTTCTACCGGGTACCACCGTATCCTCCTGTACAGCAACTGGCACGGTACTGTCCCCATATGGATGTAGGAATACCACTTTGGCACCAACTTTGATCACTCTGTTTTTAAAGTCCAACTGGAAACCATGTAAGTTCATTACATTCATTCCAAGAATAACATATTCTTCGATATCAGCGACAATAACAGTGTGAGTGAACTTTTGTGTACCAATCCCCAATTGAACCTGGATTTCCCCATGGATGTTGGCACTTTCACCTGTGGCAGTCCGTAGTCGCAATCTTGTTGGTAGAAGTTTCTTACTGTTATTTATAGTTGTTGGTCGTATAATAGTCTTAGTTGCTCCAGTATCCACCAACAGTGTATACTTTTTGCCATTTACTTCGCCGTCTACGTATACACTATCATCGCGACATTTCAAAGAGGCTATCAGTATGAGAGGGTCTTTGGAATGGTTTCGGATCGAAGCTGCCCCCTCTAGGCCGACCCGCTCTAGTTTTCCTGCGGCGTGTTGTCTTGATTCGTTGTGACCTTTGGACGTTTGCATGAACTGCGTACATGTCCTAGTTCACCACAATTCCAGCACCTGATAGTCTTCGTCTTATTCTTCCTGTCAGTAAGGCTCTTCATCATATTCACCAGTTGGTCGAGTTTACCTTCCTCTTCTTCTTCTCTTACAGTCCTTACTTTACTGTATCCACCAGAAGCCTGCGTAGCTGCCTCATATTCTAAAGCAGCGGACAAGACATCGACCAATGTTTTGTGGTGAGCTAAGTGGAGTGTTTTCTGCATCTCATGGTCACGGATTCCATCAACAAATGTTTGGACTGCCAAACATTCCATCATGTTTTCCGGAGCTGATGGATAGGCAAATCGCACCAACCTGGCAATATCTACTTCATATTCCTGAAGAGTCTCGTCTCGTTTTTGTTTACGATTCTTCAACTGTGACTGGTACAAATGCTCCAAGTGTTCGTGGCCATATCGCATATTTAGTCTCTTTTTGAGTTGTTTAAAATCATCTGTCTCTTCCACGGGTATAGTCTGAAGGACATCCAAAGCGTCTCCTCGAAGGGCAATGGTCAAATTTATTGCCTTCTCTCGTTCAGACCACTCGTTTGCTCTGGCAGCTGTTTCGAACTGCTTAAGATAGTTCGTCCATGACATCTTTCCGTCGAAAGTTGGGGTCTTAACACGGGGAGAGTTTACAGCTCCTTCCAATTTCACCTTCGACTCCACCTCATGGAAATAAATTTCGCCGTCCTTGGCCGGTGCTGTATGTTCGAGTTCTTCTAGCTTCTTTTCCATCTCTTTTATTTTTTCTTCAACGGAAGACATTATTTTCTCCTCAACAGAAGTCACCTTATTTTCCACATCAGCAGTAATTTCGTTTTTTAAAGAAGACATTTTGTTTTTCACGGAAGAAACATCAGAAGACACTTTTTCTTCTAAAGAAGAAATATCGGACGAAACTTTACTTTCTAAGGAAGTAATATCACTTTTTATAGAAAAAACTTTATTTTCCAATGAGGAAATGTCTGAAGAAACTTCAGTTTCTAATGAGGAAATATTAGAAGAAATATCAATTTTCATGGAAGACATATCAGAAGAAATTGAAGAAATTATAGCAGATGCATCATCCGGAAATAAAAATGTTTCCGGATCCAAACATTCATTTTCTAGTGCTTTTTTAAGTCGTTCTGCCAGCTCTGATTTCTTCCCTGCCGTCTCCATTTCACGTTCTTCTAATTCTCGACGTAGCTCAGGCACTTTTAAATCACACAGTCTTTTAGCCATGATTGTCCACTATTTATTTACACTATTCTACTTCTTGACACCAATGTGTGTTTGTTTATTTTCAAACAACAGTTTATTTATTAATAATTTATTTAAACACTTATTTATTTTAAACAATACTATTTTAATTTATATATACTTCGAATGTCTTTGAATCGCTCACTATTTATATTCACCACTGTCTATCTACTAATTACTATTTATCTTCACTGTCCATATATCAACTGATTTTGATGGCTCTCCTCCACCAATTTATATACAAATTGGTGGTCTAGAATGCTCCCCCAAGAAAATTGCCAGTATGTACCAGAAACGTTATCACGTTCTAGAAATAGTATCTCGTTGACCCTGGAATGTTCGCGAAAGTGTCTCCACCATAGTCGTCCCATAGGTTTGGTCTTAAGGGGCTTAATTATGTATAATAATCGGACAAGTTGAGCCTCAAAGGCCAAATAAGACAGAGAGGGACTTGTAGGGTTAGAGCACGACTAAATAATGAAATGGCTCACATAACAATACTCTTGAACAAATGTTTCTATCTACAAGCGGTGTTCACTTTACTAGATAATTTCTTCCGGTCGTGGAACCTATTAAGTTTTAGAATGTTCAGTAAATATCAGTGTTTATAATGCAATGCATTTATTCTGCAGCTTCCTTTATGCACTGCATCGCTAAAGAGAATACAGTTATATGCTCTTTTATTGATTTTACTAGATAGCCAAGCTTGTCAATTATAAAATAAAATGTAAATTATTTATTTTGATTTACATTGCTTTCATTCTTATAGGTCAAATACATTATTTAAAATGTTTTAAATGGTCTTAGGATTTTATTTGTATTCCGAAAGTGACACACATGCCTCACTTCCTCGAATTTTATTTTAATTTACAAATCCAGAAAAGGACAGAGTGCAAGATTTCTGCTTAAGATGAAGGTGCTCATCAGGCAGATGTGAAATAAAAAAATTGTTAGACAATCCCTTAGGATCGATGTCAAAATGTCCACAGTAATACTTACTCTAGCTCCATATTGAAGTAAAAGATGTACCACAGCCACGCTAGGGTGTTCGTTACTAGCTAAATATTCTACCAAAACCGGCCTTAGTTGAGAATTTCTATCGCATTCATCACTGTAGACTTTGAGATTTGGGTCCGCTCCGGCTTTCAAAAGCATCTACAAACAACATTAATTATTAGGTTATTGCATCTTCGTATTTTGCAAAAAAAACATTTAGTTTAGGATTTTTTTCAAGTTGGCAAAACATTCCTAATTTTCCCCGTGTGAGAATATTTAAAGATGATCCAACTTCAGATTTGATTAAAACAAAAGCAGGAGCAAAATAGAAAACGAACAAGATTTACACGAAAATAATAAAAACAAATTCTACAACATATACATAATATTTAATAACGAAGTAAGGAGTGATCAACAGTGACCGTTTTTTTTTTTAATTTGGTGTCATTGGCATCGACTGCTAAGGTCATTAGCCTAGTGTTCTATGTGTAGGCTTTGTTACTGTTTCCCAGCGCCACTTTAGGAACAGCACTAGAACCCAACAGTGAATGGTCGAGTGGGGAATCCTACCAAGGCATCAGAATTAATTTTAAATAATTAAATTAAATGAAAAAATCCCGGCCAACGGTGGGATTCGAACCTGGGACTCTTAGATCCATAGGCAGAGACTCTACCACTGAGCCACCCGCCCCTTGATGACTGTTTCTAAAATAGGCCTTCACAAAATGTACGTATACCGGGAGTACAGTTTTTCTTCTGTTTAAGTGTCTGTTTGAATTTAATTCAGAGCCGCGCGTAGTTATCACGGACATGACTTGTATCCCTCTTCGTCGGTCATGGATGATTACATTTAAATAAAAAATAATGGATCACAATTTAGTTAATAATTTTCACCTTCTTAAAACAGTCTTTGACCAATTTTTTTTTATTGGTATCTTAGGCTTTGGTTTTAGCCTCATGTTTTCATGTACCTACAAGTAGTCTAATACTCAATAGTTCGAAAGTACTAGTACTCTAATACTCTTGCATCCCCTACATACAAGCCTTGTTAATGTTTCCTAGCGCCACTTTAGAAACAGCACTGCTAACTAAAACCAAACAATGAAGGGTCGGAATAGGAATCATACCTTTGCATCAGAATTATTTTTAAAAAATAAATTATATTACATAAATCCAGACTAACGGTGGGATTCGAACCGCCAACCCTTCGATTCGCAAGTTCAGACTCAAACTACTGAGCCACTCACCCCTGTTTGACTTACTTAATTTTTAAAACAGAAATTTAATAAATTATCAACAGAAAATATTAAAATAATCCAATACACTGGCTAAGAAGACACATTTTTAAACAGGTTAGCCACACTATACATTTTAACACAAAAAACTAGTATGTTATTTAAAGAAAAATTAAATCCTGGATTATAGTCTAGAGAAGAAAGCGGTGCAGTAATTTAATTTTATTTATACCTCATCCTTAAATGCTTATTTGTAATTAAAATAAAAATTTTAATATATCTGATTGGCCTAATAAAAGTTTTCGTTTAGATTTAATCATGTTTTTATAATTTTACTGTAATAAATCTTTTATTTTAACAGATAAGTCAGACTTTATTTATTCAGAGCCGTATCGTATGTTTTTTATTTGATTCGGAATTTTGTATTAATATATAATTATTTTAATTGTGCTCATTTAAAAAAATGTGTTTAGTTAAGTCCTGCGACTTTAATAAATTGAAAGTATGTAACGATTGTTCCCGAAAAACTTCTATAAGGTAAGGTAAATAAAAGTATTTTTAAGGTTATGTTGTTTTATTTACCTATAATGAGGTTTTGCGAGTCTAATTTATTTTATATTGTGTTTCAGTATCTAAGACCATTCTAAGACTACTTCAAAATGATCATCTATTTTGTACCCTACTTTAAATACTATGAAGTTAGAAGTATGCAAAAAATTTGTAAATTTTTTGAGTTTCTTATAAAACCCTCTGAAAGGAAAAAATTGATTGTTCTGATAATAATAATAATAATAATATATTTATTGCTTTTAAAAACAGATTGTTTTACAGCAAGGGTTTGACATACAAAAGTGTACCTGTTCATACAATACAAATTATTCACACACCTAATTAATAATATAAAAACAAAAAAAAATAAGAGGAAGAAAAGCAAAACAAAAATACATTATTTGGTTTATACCTATAGCTATCCTCTTAAATAAAAACACAAAAAAAGATCATATCTTTGTTTAAATTATTAATTTATTATGAATGATCTAAGTTTTAGAACGTTCCATATAAAAGTTGCAATAGTTTTAGCTGAATTGATCGTCATATTATCGAGAGAGTAAATAAGAGAGTTTAAATCAGCTAGATAATTACAACTTTTAGATGTCATGACATTGTAAATGGGACAATCAAACAAAATGTGGTGAATTGACTCATCTTCATTTTTATTGCAAGCTGTACAAATTTCTCCAGTATTTATTGTGTATGACAATCCATTTAAAGTGAACTTTAAATTATATTTTATTCTGATAAGGTAACTACTTGACATCATTATAAAAATGGAAATGTACAATAAACGCTTGATTAAGATAAAGAGGCAAATGGTTTTTCACTTTAAAAGTGTGAATCGAAAAAATGGATCAACCAGTTGAATTTAATGTACTTATGATAAAAAACTTTACCTAAGAAATGATATATACCCACACTAAAATAGTTTATGTAAAGTTATGTCTGCCTGTTATTATCAATCATGTTACCCCCTAGCCTAGATTATGTGTTGCGTACAAACCTGAAATATTTTATTTTAATGACATTGTTTTAATCAAAATGCTAACAAGTGGAGACCATGGTATATATGCAACCGCCGAGCGCTCGGAGTATGCAACCATGTGACCTGCTGTATTAACAGGTTCAATGACACATGTATAGTTGTATAGATTGCTCAAAGCGGGTCATTGCGAGCGGCCATATTGCCTCGCAAAATTAGTTTGGCAAAAATATGTTTTTAAACCAATTTTCAGCCTTGAATATAGTAAATAATTACCTACATTTTTTCTTCAAGGCATAACGTCTTCGTAGAGTCAAAACCTCGTATCATAAATTTTTTAGGAAAAACTAAAAACCTTTTTTTTTCTGTAATTATTAATTTTGTAAAAGTAACTTTTTTATGTAATAAGGAAAGGTAAGTCAAAAAGATGCCAAATGGTTAAAAATTTGCATTTTTTAAATTAATCTCTCTCTAAAAAAAACATTCAGTTACGCCCAAATATGAGTTACGGGGTTTTGACTTCACTACGACGATAAGCTTTTGTTTATTTTGGAAACATGGATTATCAATCTATATTACTATCTATATGCTTGAGCCTGTCAAATAACCAGACCCACAAGTTGCATTTTAACCTGTCAAAACCCACTGGCAGCCATTTTGTTTGGAATGCCTAATTAGAGAGGTATTAAAAATGTCTATAACGTCAGCCACTAATAGTAACAGCATCATTAGAGGCCAATAAATTCCATGCTAAAATAAGACTTATTACAGACCTAAAATTTTGACATTAGAGTCACTGTCCTTATACATATTTCTAATCTCATGTTAAAAACTTTAAATTACAGTTCATATTTTTTGTCGTCTATATTATAGTACATACTATTAGAGAGGCAATACAAATTATTATTTTAGAAAAACTTCGAACTCATACGAATATCGGCGAGCGCTCCCGAAAGCTATAAAGTCGCCACTATCTGCTGCCCTCAAACATCCACAATTAAGGACAGGTACAATCTTTAATAAAGTCAGTTCCAGTCAGTTGTCAAAATAAGAACGGCGCTTATAATAGTAACTAACCTTAGTGAACTTATCTAATCTGCTTTTAAATGTAGGATGGACAAAGCTGCAAATTAATTTAATAATAGTAAATAATAATTGCAGAATAATACCTTAAAATCTTACCATTAGCCTTTAATTTTAGTTTAAGCTCAGTCCCTTCCCAAATTATTTGTGTGTGTCAAAATTGTTTGCCAACAGCAACACTGTACAGCTAGCCCGAGGTCACGGTGGACTATAAGGTGCATCAACTCCTATTTAAAAACAAATGAAAACGGCGATAAAACCAATCGTACTTCCTAGCCAAAATCCGCTAGGTTCGCTAGTGTCTATCCGGCGAGAGAGTAAATAAAAGATAAAAGTAGGAGCTGCAATTTGAAAAGATATAAATCATGGTGGATCGTTGTGCGTTTTTAATTGTGATTATGGGAGAGAGTCTTCAACATATTAATAGCATTTTTATAATGCCAAAAAACAGTTATACAGAATATGGTGTAAATTATTTATTGGTGGTATGAAAATAAACATTAAACCCAAAAGTTCCATTTGTGAAAAACATTTTAATGCAAATTATGTTATCCGTGAAAAAATGCTAAGAAATCTACCAGGAAACGTTATTTTTCAAGTAAATATGTTTAATGTCTACGTTTTAAATGATTGTAGGTTATGTAAATAGGTTATTCAACTTTGTCTTTTCTGTAATAAAAATAATTATTAGTATAAAGTTTTACTATATAAATATTTCGTATTATTTATCCTGTCTCCTTGGTACTAATAATGTTATGACTTGGACCCTATTATAATGTGTTCATGATATAAATTTCATATACACAAGGTACCTATTTCTTTTGATATTTTTCTGACCCTGCGAATAAATAAAATCTTTGACTTATTCCTTTTAGCCTGATTATAATGCTAGAAAGTTGTATCTGGTTATAAGAATCAAATAGATACTATGATAAATTTATTTTACTTGTAGTCTTTTTATTTTTAAGTGTTTAATAATAATCATCCTCGAATGTGTTTTGTTCCAGTTCTTTAAATGTATTTACTAGGTTTTTATAGAAGTACTGATTTTCAGTTAATACAAATTTGAGTTGTAAGAAATATTTAAGATTTTTCAATTCTGTATTTTTATAGGAGTTAATCCCTTTAAGTAAATAAATGTAGTTCGGGGTCGTAGATGTTGGTAATTTATGTATTGAATAATTTGTACATACACTGGTTAATAACTTAAACAATGTTTTTTCTGATGTACCTAATAATTATTTAAGGTTATCTTGTAGTTGACGAGTCTAGAAATCCGCATATTCACACCACTTCGCACTGAA